AAGTGCCCGGGCACACCCACCCTGCGTGCTGCAGCCGACTGGGCTACAGGCCTAACCCTTGGGAAACTGGGTGCTGGGTGGGGTAAGGGGAGCACCCTGGGTCCTCTCCTTTCTCTGATGCATCCTCAGCCAGGGCTGCATTTCTCCAGCTCACCTGAGACGCTCCTGCAAGAAAAGGTTGGTTGACTCCTCCTGTTCCTGTTTATCTCGAAGGCTCTGCAGCAATTTCCCAAACTGAACAGCAAGAGGGAGACCTCAAAGAGGCGACTCTCTTCCTAGCTGCATCTCCTTCCTAATCCTCTGGGTGCCTTGGAATAGAAGCTCAGAAGGAAGAAAACGAGATTTTCAACTTTCAGGAACTAGCTCTGCCGCCCTCTGCACGGCTCAGGAGGCCATCACTCTCAGCCTTTTAGGACTCGATCCAAAAATCCTTCAGCCCTCCATGTTCCCCAAAATGACAGTGCTCATGTATGGCTGGAATCTGCCGCGATCCGGCAGCTCATTTAAATAGAGCTCATCACAACAACAGTGTTGGTGGAGAAGTGAGTAGCTGCAGGGCCCTGGGGACCCCCTGTTTATACGTAGGAAGAATGATGCAATCTGGGTATCAAAATAGCAATCCAGAACGGAATAACAGGCTCACGCAGCAGCGCGGTGTCTGCACACCCAGAGCTCAAGTTGACACACTCTGTCAGCCCCACACTGCTGCAGCACGCAGATGCCAGGCACACGCTCTCACCGCATCATTTTAAAAATCAGCAGGAGCCCGAGATAGCCCTCTGTGCCCCCGGCACGGAAGGAGGGTGTGGGGGGGGGAGACCTTCGACAGACATTAAAATCTATCTCCTACACACTCACCTGCTCCTGCCACTTCACCTGAAGTCCTTATTCTGTGACGTCACAGTCAGTTGCCATAGTGACCAATTGTCCGTCACAAGTGGAGGATTAGGACTTCGGATGGGGAAGACACACATTTATGATGCACAAAGGTCCTGGAGGTGTCCCTTGGCAGCTAACTCTACCATCCCTGCCCCCACCCTGGGGAGATACAGTCGAACTCAAGCGGGGAGAGAAAAGGGAAGGAAAAGCAGGGTCGAGTTGGAGGGAAGACATTAGGAGCAGGCAAAACTACAAGTACAGGAGAATTGTAAAAGCACAGAGCATAGGAAAATTGCAAAAGCATGGGTGGGGAATGGGAGGGAATATGCTTGGAAAGACTGGCAGGAGAGTAAGCTCCCTGAAGGGCCCTGAATGCTAAGCTAAGGAACTTGACATTTATCCTAAAAGCAGAGGCTCTGGAGAGGGACAGAGCTGGGCTTTATGATTATCTTGATGAACAGGGGACTGGGGAGTCAGGGAGAACTTGTCCTGTTTAGCAGTAGTGGGATCCCGAACAAGGGTAGCAATGGAAAGAAAGGGACAGAAGAGTTGTTTCAAAGAGAACCAACAGGGCATGAGCAAAAAAGGATGTGGGAGGGAGTGATGGTGTGTGAAGAATAAGGAGTCACATGGAGGGCTGTCAGAACCAGAGGTAAGAGCAGGGAGAGGGTGGGAGAGTGGTTGCCAAACCCCATCTCACATGTGCCCTACTTTCTCTGGTATCCATAGCCTCTTTAGGTCAGGCTGCATCCTGCTTTGCTGGACCAGTGATTCACCAATCTGGAGGGTCTGTTAGAAATCCTGACTCTACCAAATTCAAATCTCTCGGGTGTGGGTGTGGGACCAAGAATCTATATTTTTGGCAAGTTACCCCAGTGATTCTTAAGCATTCAGACCGGCACTGGCTCAAGGACCTGTAAGCTGGAAGCAATGGCCAGGACAACTGCAGGGACCGCCCAACAGGGCTTTCTGCATCCAGTCTTGTCTCCTCCAGTCATTCTTCTCACTAAGCCAGAATAACTTTCCAAAAATACAGATCTGATTGTATTCCACTGATCAAAAATATCCAGTGTCTCCCCACTGCCTATAGAATAGCTGAAATTGGTCATGACCCTTCACAATGTGTCCCCAAATTTCCCTTCCAGAGTTCCCACTGCCTTCCTTCGAACAATCCTAGACTGTGGCCAAAATTAACTCCGTCCTTTTCCTCCTGCCTTGCCTCCATATGCCTCATCCTAATACTATTCCCTCCCTGCAGTTCCCTTCCAGAGTCTGGCCCTGTCTGGCTCCTACACAGATATTCCTACTTGATGCCACTCACAGGTTCAAATCCATCCAATTTCCCCAGGCAGAGCCTAAACCAGTGGTCAGAAAACCACAGCCTGCCCATTTTTATAAATAAAGTTTTACTGGAACACAGTCATGCCCATCAACTCCCGAATTATCTGCGCTGCAGTGACGGCACTGGGTAATGGTAACAGAGCCTGTAGGACCCACAAAGCCAAAAATATTTACTATCTAGCCCTTTACAGACAAAGTTTGCTGGTCCCTGGCCTAAAGCAATGGCTACTTCAATTGTTCTAGCCTCACCTTTGGGGGTTCAATCCTGGTAATGGGGATCCTGCTTATTTCCAAGTCTACCTCCATCCCTGTGTGCTCGAGTTCTGATAACTGGGTCATGCTTGAGCCAACCTTCCATTTGGCACACTTGAACAAGAAGAGGGTATTGCAGGAGGAGGGAACGTCATAAACAGAGGATTGCAGATGTCAAAATGTGAGGCCTCTAGGGGAAAGATTGGTAAAGCTGGTTCATGGAGAGGAGTGACAGAGATGAAGCTCTAAAGTTAGTCTGGAGTCAGATCGGGAAGAGCCTTGAAGGCCATGCTAAGTGTCTGTTCTGAACTGTAAGTAATTGAGAGCCTCTTAGGTAGCTAGAGCTGCAGGCCCACAACAGAAGAGAGTGATCAGGGTTGAAGCTAGAGGATTTGAGAGCATAACGCACAGAGGCAAGAGGTAAAGTGAGGTTAGGCAAGGGGATCCAGAGAGTGTGGGGCAGGGCCAGGTGGCCCATCTGAGCCGGAGTCAGAACACAGGCATGAAAGCTAAGTGATAGGCTGAGGCAGGAGACGGTGGTCCACAGCTTTCAGAGCTCATGTTCATAGGACCACCAGACTGCGAAACAAGCTTTCGGGGCCAAGAAAGAGCCCATATCAGAATGCAGAAGGCACAGGTAGGATGGAACTAGGCTCATCTCATCTGATAGACAGGCACCTCTATTTCTTTCACTTCAAATCTCAAGAGTCAATCCAAGGACTGTACTGACATACTCCATGCAAAACCACTGTCCCCATTTCCAACTGGGTCCGGACAGAGAGACAATGGGAGAACCAAGGGCAGCAGCCTACTCTAGGTCTGCAGTTCCTACTGGCCCTCAAGTCCAGGCAAGCCCTGGGTTGGCAGGCAAAGGAGCTGAATTTTTTTTCAGGCTCTGTAATAACTCTGGCATTCAGCAGAATTCTAAGGCTTTCTGGAATCCTGATGCTCCCTTTATGTAGTAAGGGATCAGAGATAAGCTCCAAAGCTCTTCCCTGCTCTCTAGCCTCCACAGCAGTCAACCATGGCTGGTCCCCCTTGAATGAGAGAGTTCCAGTAGACAAGGGGCCCTCCCAAGACCCTGTCCATCCATCACGGCTACCCTGAACTGAGGGAAGCCTCAGCAAATCTACTCTAGCTATATCCTTCCGAGCAGTGCTGGCAGCAGCTAGCACATCCCCCAGAACGCAGCCTGCCTCCTTCCCCGTACCAGGGGATTTGTTCTCCCAGTAACAGGCACCGTTCTGAGGTGCCAGTGCTACTCCCAGGGCCCTAGAGAGCCAATTAAGGTGAGGAAACTGTTCATGAACTAAAAAGCCATTGTGCTGATAGGGTTTGGGAGCTCCAGCTTCTGCACCTGCTGCACACCCAGCTCAGTCCAGCTCAACTGCCAGTCCTCCACCTAGGAGACTTGAGTCACTGCCCACAACAGACCCCACGATGGTTGGAGACACTGTTCAGCACCTGGACTGAGCAAACAGCAGTCACCTTGCCTTCCAGGCTCCTATAGCTGAGACCTCACCCGCCCCCTGCCTCCCACCCTCACCCCAGGCCATTAGAGCCCCTCCACCTGAGCTCTCATTAAGATCATCATTTCTTTCTCTGACTCTGAGGTTGTAGCATCTTGCATCAGTTCCCTCTCTTTGGATCTTCCCAAAGTCCCAAGGCCTGCCCACTGAGGGACAGAGATTGCTCCCCCTTTCCGCATCTGTAGTTTACAAGAGACATGCTGTCACCCATCATTAGCTTCAGGAAGCATGAGGCCATGGTGGTTGTTTGGGGTTCTTAGAGCTCTCCAAGTCCAGCCCTGAAAGCCAGAGAAGACCTGGGATTGCCCAGTCAATTGGTGCTGGAGTCCAGACTGAGCTCCAAGGGCCGTGACTTCCAGACCAGGGCTCTGCCCATGTCTCGCACGTCACCCACATCGATAACAGGAAAAGTAAGATACTAAACAAGTAGATTCTAAAACTTTGATATCAGAATCAAGGTCTCTCAGCTAGGATTTGTCTTTCAGTAGATTTGAAAAGGAAAAATAATGTCCCTTTTATTTACATGAGGAAGTAAAACAACAACTAGAGCTAGGGGAGTCCTGAGAATTTTGAAGACAAATGCAGCACATAGTAAATGTCAGTTTCAGGCAGCCTGTCCCTTCAGAGCTTGCTACATTAAAGTATCACTTTGCCACTCAGTGGCCAACTTCTCTGATAGAGTTTGACCTGGGACCATTTTCAATTAGGCTGAAAAGCAAATAGTCCCACGTATATTGGCTCTGGTTGGCTGAGTACACCCATTTCCCATATCCAGCCTTTCTGCACAGAGCCCGCAGCTCCAGTCGTCCCGCTGCATGGCTAAGCCATTGTGTGCTCAGCACATGGCTGCCTTCACTCTGATCCCCATCACTAGCTTTTGAAGACCTTGCCCAGCTGGTCTCCTTAGAGGCGGAGACCTAACACAGACACATTTCCTAGTGTGACAGAGTTGCTGGGGTAAAATCTCTGCGAGGCCGTGGCCGCATTAAAGATGTGCACCTGAGGACTCGGGCTGCAGTGCTGGTTCTTTCCTCAAAGATTCTCCATGGAGTCTCCCCATCCATTCAGTGATTCCAGATGAAATCTTCCTCTGAGCAGCGTGCTCACAGTGCAGATCGCAAGCTTTGAAGACAGGTTTGACCTGAACTGGCACTTAACAGTTGTTTTAGACCTGAGACATGACATATTCACAACACCCAGGGTTTTCATCTGTAAAATGGGAATAATACCTAATTATAGGGTTGTTGTAAGATTTTAAAAAAGATGATAAAGGCACAAGCACCCAGTACAGTGTCTGCCAACCAGCAGGTGCTTGATAAGTATGTTTGCCCCTTGCAACCTGAGAAATAGAAAGGGCAGCGTCACAAGTAGGACAGTCTGCCTCCCATATAAGAGCCATGGGAGATCTCTGCAGTTTCACTGATTCAATCATTTGTTCAATAAATATTCACCGAAGCCCCCATCCTGTGTCAGGTTCTGTGTTGGGCTGGGGGGTGGTAGAGATGAAAGGCCCAGTCCAGTTAAATCAGATGTCTCCCCTCGTGCCAGGTACCAGCGCAGAAGTGTAGGCCTGGGGAGGCTCCCCTGAGGGATCAGAGCTGAAAATCAGTTGGACAGGCCCTGAGCCCAGGCACCCAGCCTATTCTACACAGCAATGCTCAGCTTTGCCCAGCAACCAGCAGGCCTAGATTTATAGAAGTGGACTTACCCCATGCACTGTTGGCCCATCTGCCTGGAGGCACTGATGCTAGCTTCTTTAGCTTCTACCCATCTCCTCTCTAGCTGCTCCCATATTTTACTTTTGAAAACCCCAGACTGGCAGAAATAGGATAAGCATTTTAGCAAGTCTGGGCCCCTACTCTGCTGGATAAAGTGGCAGTGCTAAAAGCTCTTTCCAAAGAACCAGACTCCCAAAGCCTGGCTTCTCAAATTATGGACCTATCAAGTTCAGGTCTTGGGTCTCTCACTAGACTTACCAGAGATAGACGATAGCTCTCCTTTTCATAAGACAGCTCATTTGGGTACCATTCTTTCAGTTCTTCCAAAAAACATTCAGTAAGCAACTGACATCCACCAGTCCTGGTCCATGGAGAACCTCCTAGAAGTATTGCTTCTTTGCCTGAACTTTACAATCTTCTCTTCACATCCACACCACACCGTATTATTATCATCTGTCTGGTTATCTGCCCTTCAACAGAACAGGAGTTCCTTGAAGGCAAGGGCCCTGTCTTTTCATCTCTGTACCCTAAATGCCAAAGAGCCTGGTACACAGAAGTCAAATACCCGTGAAGAAGACAGACATACACAGACAGACAAACCAACTAACACCCACACAGCATAGAGTCCTAAAATCTCCAAGTAGTCACGGAAGCTGATTCTACTCTTCACCCATAAATGCAAATATGGAGGTAACAATGGCCTGGCCAGACCATAGGACATACTAAAGAATATAAGATGCCACATATTTAAGAAATTGCCTCTCTTGTTCCAAATCAGGCATATTCACATCTGACCAATTTTTTTTCCACTTCAGTTTTAAAAGTTCTAAAAAATAGTATTTTCTCATGTTTCTTGGCCTCTTACTATCTCCTATGAGCAGTACAGAATGTTCTACATATACATGATCACTTAATCTTCCTAACAATCCTATAAGGTAATTACCACTACCACCGTGTTCTAGGCGAGACAACTTGCCCAAGCTGCACAACTAGTAAGTGGCAGGCAGATTAGAACTCACACTCTGATGCTCAGACATTAACACCAAAGCTTATGCTTTTATTTTCCATTACACTCGGAATAACTTGGCGAATAAACACAATGGTTCTAATAATTGTCATTAGTATGACTTGGTTTTCTGACTTTAGAGCCATACAAAGCCTTGATACATGCATAATTAGTTCATGTTAAAAAAACGAAATGAGATCAAAGACTTAGACATAAGAGTAAAACTATAAAACACTTAGAAAATACAGGGGAAAAGCTTCATGACAATGGATTTGGCAATAATTTCATGGCTAGGACACCAAAAGCACAGGCAATGGAAGTAAAAATAGACAAACTGGACTTAGCAAAATTAAAAACTTTTGCGCATCAAAGAACACTATTAATAGAATAAAAAGACAACCCATGGAATGGGAGAAAATATTTATAAATCATGTATCTGATAAGGGTCTAATACCCATAATATATTTTTTAAAACTCCTACAACTCAACAACAACAAAACCCCAATTAAAATGTGGGCAAAACTGAAACTCTATACATTATACAACAACCCTCCATTCCCCCCCCTTACCCCCCAGCCCCTGGCAGCCACCAGGCTACTTTCTGTCTCTATGAGTTTGACTACTCTAGGTACTTCATGCAAACAGAATCATAGACTATTTGTCTTTTTGTAACTGGCTTATTTTATTTAGCATAGTGTTTTCAAGGTTCATTCATGTTGTAGCATGTGTCAGAATTTTCTCCCTTATTAAGGCTAAATAATATTCCACTGCATGTATATACCACATTTTGTTTATCCATTCAGCTATCAATGGACACTTGGATTGCTTCCACCTTTGGCCATGCAAATAATGTGGCTAGGAACACAGGTGTACAAATATCTCTTTGAGTCCCTGCTCTTAATTCTTTAATTCTCTCTGGATATACCCAGAAGTAGAATTGCTGGATCATATGATAATTTTATTTTTTAATTTTTTGAGGAATGGCTGTACTGTTTTCCACAGAGGCTGTACCATTTTATATTCCCACCAACAGTGTACAGGATTCCAATTTCTCCACATTCTCACCAACACTTATATTTTCTGTTCTTTTTTCTTAATAGTAGCCATCCTAATGGGTATGAGGTGGTATCTTGTTGTGGTTTTGATTTGTATTTCCCTAAAGATCAGTGATATTGAGCATCTTTTTGTGTGCTTACTGGCCATTTGTATATCTTGTTTGGAGAAATGTCTATTTAAGTCCTTTGCCCATTTCTAAATCAGGTTGTTTTTTATTGTTGAGTTGGAAAAGGTCTTTATATAGTCTAGATATTCACCCAACAATGCTGGAACTTTTTAAGACATATTTAAGATTCACCATGTTTATAAATTTAACTTAGGTTTCCAAGTGTCCTTTAAGTAGGAACATTTATTTGCTAGGCAACTGAAATACTTAAAAAGAAAATAAAATACATTTAATTTATAAAAGCAAATATTAGCTAGGTTTGTAAATATGTTCAAATATTAATAAAAACCCCTTTAAAGTTGTTAAAATTTGCTACATTTATAAATAGAGTAAGACGTATAAGTTAAAAAGTTTTAAGGAAGGACGAAATTTAAATTTAAAAATCAGATATTAATTTTAAAAATCAAACTAGATCATCTTTTCTGTGCTCTAAACTCACAAAAGAGCCCAAGGAGGTCACACAGCTTGCCCAAGGGTTTAGAGGGCCCCAAATTCATAGCTAAAGACAACTGCGCTGCTATGATGCTTCAAAGCACCTAGCCTTGGGCTACAAATCACTTTAATAATACTGCAGACAACAAAACAGAGATGATGTTTCTAAACGCTCTCAACTTGTTAGACCTTCTCATTCTCCAAGTTCCTTCAACAGAGACTGAAACTCCGTTACAGGCCTGTGCTAGAATGCTGAGCTGAAGGGACCTGGTTCACGCCTCCAAGGACTCACAGTCCTCCATGAGATTGCTCCCTAGGAAACCTGATATTCGGAGCAAGACACAAGCTCCAGGGCACCTGGGTGGCTCAGTCGTTAAGCGTCTGCCTTCGGCTCAGGTCATGATCCCAGGGTCCTGGGTTTGAGCCCCCCATCTGGCTCCCTGCTCGGCAGGAGGCCTGCTTCTCCCTCTCCCACTCCCCCTGCTTGTGTTCCCTCTGTTGCTGTGTCTCTCTGTCAAATAAATAAATAAAATCTTAAAAAAAAAAATTAAATGGTGAATGGTTCACTAGTCTGTGTGAGTCTGCTCAAAGTCAGTTCCCGACCAGTCCTAGCGGGGTAGCAACTCTCCCTCTGCCTGGGAAGTTTAGTGAATCTGGACAGTGTCCCCTCCATCTGGGGAGTCAGCCAAACCTTGAATCAACACCCTCCCAGATTTCTCAGTTTGCCACCAACTCAAGGAAATCCCAAACATGCCAAGTCCCAGCTTACAAAATAGATATAGTAGGCATCAGGAGGATTGCTTTGTCTCACAGATTCCCCAAAGAATTGCGTTCGGCAATGAGTCTCCCTTGGGCATTTGAATTCTGATTCTTTCTACACCTGAAATTCGGTTCCTATGAAACAGAAAGAGACCGGTTATGTGGAAGGAGGGGAACGGGCGGTACTTTTGTACTTACCATCTGGGACAGTCCCGAGAACCTTGGCCACCTGCCTCAGCTCCTGCACCAAGCCCTGGAAGCAGTCTTTACAGAGCGAATGCTGGCCGGGTAGGAACCGGGCCCCCACATTGTCCAGGTCCTGTAGGCACACCGAGCAGGTCTGTACCATGGCCTCCATCTGACCACTCGTGTGTTTCTGGTCAACGAGTGGCAGCCCCATAAAGCTCATGCCCGTATCGGTGCCCATGCCCCTGTCTGGGCCCGGGGCTCTTCCAGTGATATCCTCAGGTGTGAAGCAGCGAGTAGAGCGAGCAAGCTCCACTCCCTGTAAGTGAATCACAAAGCAGAGGGATTCATTTCTTTTGGGTGGGGGATGTTCCTGGACAGGCCAGGGAGGACTCAGAGTGCTGGAGGCTCGTGCCCTGCAGCCCGCAGGCCTCAGCCTCACAACCTCACTTGAGCCCAGAGAGAGAGAGACTTCAGCATCTCCACCCTAGAAAACAAAGCCTGCAGAGGTCTGCTAGGCTGTGTGTTTCTTACAGGGTTTGTTTGCCTTCAAAAATGTCTACCTGTGCTTCTCTTTATTAGTGGACAAGCTTGAGCCAAGATTTCATTTTGGAAAAGAGAAGGAAATGTATTAAAAGCCAAGTGGTATGCCAGGTGCTTCCTAAGCTTTATCTCAGTCCTCACAACTACTCTTGGAGATAGAGGCATTACGATACTTTTACAAATTAAATAAAGCCATGAGGGACAGGCTGGGGAAACCGAGGCTCAGAGACTTGTACAAAGACAGATGGTAAATAGCAAAGTTCAAATTCAAATTCAAATTCAAAATCAGACTCACATCCTTACTAGTGAAATATTTCTCAAGCTGAGGTCCACACACATATTTTCATGAGTTCCCTCCAATTTTTTTTAATTAGTATTCATTCTGATAAGAAGGTTTTAATGTATCAATATTCTTATCCACCATCATGAGATTTTAGAGGCAGTGCTAAGAGTTCAGGAGCTAATTCACACCATGCAGTATTAGTTTGTCTCAGGCTAATGAGAAGAGAAAAGGGGCAGCCTTAATATGTAAATGATGCATTCTTGCCACGTGAAGGCTCAAGAACAGTGTGGCACGTGGTGATGACTGTTTCATGGTACTTGGAACAGAGGAAGGAGGTGGGGAAATTAAGCCATCATCATCGCGGCAGACGTTGGCCAAACCCAGCCACACGGGGAACACCACATTCAAATTGTACTAGCAATGCAGTTTAGCAACACATCATCTGCAAATGAAATCAATATTGTTAATTTGATTGTTTTGCTTTTTTTTATAACTTGTAAACTGTATTCAGTTTTATACTCGTATAAGAGCAAAAGAAGTGACCTGGTTTTATATTTGTACTTACTTAAGAAAGAAAACAAAAATCATTTAATTCAAATCTGGAGCTCTGTAATTATTGCAGATTTGATTGAACTTTCATTTCAGGCCGTAGTTTTTGAGAGCCAAACCCATTCAGGACAAAGAGTGACAGGGCTAGAGAGGCCCCACTGCTTGGGGGCCCAGCAAAATGTCACTAAATAAAATAATGGATGTACTTTCACCCCTGATTCAGTCTGGGGCTCTAAGAGCACTTACTTCCCAGAGGGCAGCATAGTAGCCCTGTGGAGGTAAGGGTAGTCTGTCTTCGAAGGTTCAAGTGTAGCTGAGTTTATTTCATTAGACTCTGAGAATATCAAACTCTTTGGTCTCGAACTCCTTTACATTTTTTTAATTATTCAGGACCCCAGAGATATTTTATTTATGTGGGTTCTATCTACTGCTATTTACCATATTATAAATGAAAACTGAGATAACTTAAAACTATTAATTCATTCAAAAACAATAAACCTATTACATGTCAACTCGAATAACATACTTTTTAGGAAAAAATTAACTATTTTCAAAAAAATAAATTCAGTAAGAAGAGTGACATCATTTTTCGTTTTTGCAAACCTCATTAATGTCTGTCTTAATAGGAGACCGCTGGAATCCCATACCTGCTTCTGCAGTCAATCTACTCTCTGTCGTTTTGTTTATGGTGTATGAATAAAATCCAGCCTCACGGGGCTGTACAGTTAGAAAAGGTAAGACAATTTTTAATAGTCTTATCAGGTAATTGTGGACATTCTTTGATTCTACAAGTGGTAGCTTCTTAAAGGTTGGTTGTAATGTGGAATCTGAAACTACATCAGTGAACATTTCTTACCGTTACATTAAAATCCACTAGCCTATCTTGCACTGTGAACTGCTCTTTTACCCAGGCATCATTTTATAACACCAAGCATTTGCCATTTGGAAAATACTGGTTCAATGACTTATGCAGATGCTCCAAACATTGACGTTTCATTAGACAATAACAAAACATCATACTCGTTCACATCGCCTCGAATCTCATTGAAAAATTCTTTACGAGGAAGATGTCAGACTCAAATAAAGATGTCAAACTCAGCTATACCTTTACCAGAATTTTAATTTTTGCTGGGAACTCTAATTTTATCATTGGCAACAAATACTGTCAGGTTTTTTTCCTTGAAATGACAAGCTCACTTCATTTTTGAGAAAATAGCTGCCAAATTCCCAAGGCTGAATAACCACAGTCTGTTAGTTGTTCTTTCAAGTAAAGCTGGTGTCGTACAAAAAACAATAACAACAACACAACAACAACAAAACCAGGCTGGTTCAGCTTGCAATTCACACTACAGCACAAGTGCAGTTCCTCACTTTGATAAGTAGAAGTGCTTTATGCATTCTTCCAGTTTCTTCACACGGAATTTTAAAAGCATGTGTGTTCAAGGACTGATATGTAGTGAAACATTTACTGCTTCGTCATGGACAC